AGAGCTTGGAGCCTGCTTCAGATTCTGTGTCTCCCTCTGTCTGCTCTCTCTCTCTCTCTCCCCCCAAAAATAAGTAAACGTTAACATTTTTTTAAAAAATGAGTTTGTGAATAAAAATTCTTAAAACAGTTACCCAAAAATAAAATTTGGAATTACAGCATCGGACAAGTGTCTTATTTAAAGGTGACAAGAGCAGGGACGCCTGGGTGGCTTGATTGGTGAAGCATCCAACTTCACCTCAGGTCACGATCTCACGGTTTGTGGGTTCAAGCCCCACTCAGGCTCTGGGCTGACAGCTCAGAGCCTGGAGCCTGCTTCAGAATCTGTCTCTCTCTCTCTCTCTCTCTCTCTGCCCCTCCTGTGCTCACATTCTGTCTCTCAAAAATGAATAAATGTTAAAAAGAAGATAGCTTTAGAAAGGAGTTGTGTGGTTTTCCAGACATGGCGTACCTGTCCTCACACTGCCCATGGGTTGACCATTTCCCAGAAGGGTGGTGGTCAGGTGCAAGGAAGAGGCCAGTCCTGGACCACAAAACGTCCTGAGTTCTGGTCCAGGTCAATTCTGTTCTAACTAGCATAACTAGCTACTGTACATTTGTAAAAGCCCAGCATGGTAGTTAACCCATTTGACCCGAGTGGACCATTGAAGAGTGTGATGGGGGGTAAGGCTGGAGGGGTAGTTGGGGACCCTATATGAAAGGTGTATGTAGAAGTGAAATGCCAGTAGGCTTTAACCCTTCTTCCCTTGGCCACTTCATTTCAAGGAGCTGCCAGTTTCTGTCCCCCAACTAAGTGGATTGTTCTTGCTCTGCACTGTAGTAACCTGAAGAACCTTTGGGGTTTCTGCTCGTCTTTAAGCCAAAGTTAGCTTTTATAGAAGATTTCTGTTTAATGGCATAAGGAGAAATAAGGGCTTTTAAAAGCGTTTGAAATAACGAAACATTAATCACAGCCCTTATTTCCCTCAGTGAAATATATGGAACTTGATGTGATTAATATACTTGAGTTGTTCAACTTGTCAAAAATGTCTTGGTCATTTAAGGTGCTGTAATAGGCCTAAAAAATAGTGGGGGATTTTTTATTTTTTTATTTTTTTTTTATTTTTTTACATTTATTTATTTTTGAGAGACAGGGAGAGACAGAACACAAGTGGGGAAGTGTAGATAGAGGAGACACAGAATCTGAAGCAGGTTCCAGGCTCTAAGCTGTTAGCACAGAGACTGACGTGGGGCTCAAACCCATGAACCGCGAGATCATGGCCTGAGCCGAAGTTGGACGCTCAACCGACTGAGCCACCCCGGCGCCCCAGCCTAAAAAATAGTTTTGTTGGAAAATCTGCATTGTCCCCTGTGTTTTTAAATCAAAGAAAATCATGAAGGAGAGACATTCTTAGTGAATTAAAACTGGAAATGTATTAAGCTTTCAAGAACATGTCTCTTTGCATTACATGTCTTTTTATTTTGTGATCCTATTTGCTATTTTTAACAAAAATTCCGGGGTTATCCTTTATAACCAAAGATACCAAAAAAGCAAAAACCGAAGACAAGGGGGAGTCTGAGGAAGATGTACAAGCGCCTGAAGAGACAGAAAACCATGTGGAGAAGCCGGATGATCAGGAAGAAGACGCTGAGGTGCCCAGCCTACCCCTGGGACTGACAGGTAACTTCACAGATGTCCAGAGAGACCTGAAAAATGCCATGCCTTTCTGAATTAGAGCATTTGAAATTTCAATTGTGACTTTTAATTTACCTAGAAAAAGTGAGTATTGACAAGAAATACTTGTCAGCCAGCTACTGCTTTATCTTGCACACTGTGCGCCTTAGTTCTTCGTTTACTTGCATTCCTGACACTAAATATTTTGATGTGCACAGAAACAGCTTCTGGGGTTTTTTGTTCCTTTGGTTTTTTGTTTGTTTGTTTGTTTTAAATGTTTTATTTATTTTTGAGAGAGAGAGACAGAGTGCAACCAGAGGAGGGGCAGAGAGAGAGAGGGAGACACAGAATACGAAGCAGGCTCGAGGCTCTGAGCTGTTAGCACAGAGCCCGGGGCGGGGCTCGAACTCCTGGACCGGGAGATCATGACCTGAGCCGAAGTCAGATGCTTAACTGACTGAACCACCCAGGCACCCCTGGTTTGTTGTTTTCTAAAGCTCATTCCATTTTGCAGTAGGAAAGCCATTGGCCCAGAAGTCTGGCGATCACAGGTTTGCTACCTGCCCAGTTACAAATAAGGAAGGATGAGAGTTGTGTTATTGTCGGCCTTTTGCCAGCATAATGTCCTCTGGCCTCTGTTTTCTTTAGAAGGTCGAGAGTTGAGACTAGAATCGCTTGCTCCAAACCAGAAGTGTCTAGGGGTTACTTGAGTTGTTTGGTTTGGGTTTTTTAGTTGTTAAAATGTTGAAGCCTAACCCCAGGCTGGCTTAATCAAAATTGCAAAGATGATGGCAGTGGTTCTCAACCAGGGCAGTGACCAGGCCGTGCCGGTTTACCCAGAACTTGACCAGTTGTAGCATTCGAGGTCCTGCATCCCATAAACCTCCTCCGTCCCAGGCACACCGTCAAGGTTGACTATCAACACATTTGGTTTTCAGAACTGGAGACAGGCTACTGGCATTTAGTGGCTAGAGGTCAGGGAGGCTGCAGAACATCCAATAATGCAGAGGACAGCCTCTCAGGACAAAGTGTTACTCAGCCCAAAATGTCAGCAGTGGCAAGGTTGAACAGCACCTGGCTAATAAGCAGGGGCACGTATGGGGTGGGAGCACTCCAGGTGATTTTGATGCCATGCCTTCCCCTGCTGAAGCACCACTGCACGTTCGGCATGTGGGTTCAGTCTAAATGGCGTGTGGCTATAGCTGACCTTCTCAGTTGTCCTTTTGGAATGAGATTAACAGCTCTTTTGACTGACTTTCCACTCCATTTTTGTTATGCTGGATGCCTTCACGTTTTATTTCAGATTGTTTAAACATTTCATTTTCCTCTGAACCACCGCCATCCTTGGCATTTTCGTTTCATACAAGTCTCTCAGTTACATCCCCCCTCCATCCTTTACTGTTGTTAGGATGTGGCTTCTGGACTTCACACAGCCATCAGCAGTGGAGAAACTTCAAAAGTAAGGGTCTCTGTCTTAGTATTACACAGCAGTGGTTGGGGTTTAGTCTTTTTCACTAGAAGAAGCTCTTCCAAGCTTGATTCCCACCCAGAAATGTCTTCAAACAGCAAAACTGATTATGTAACTGTAGCACTGTTAACTACTTAAAAAGATAAATTTACTAATGATAAAATGTCTTTTGCTTAGGAGCTTTTGAGGACACTTCATTTGCTTCTCTTACTGATCTTGTCAGTGAGAACACTCTGAGGGCAATAAAAGAAATGGGTTTTACAAACATGACTGAAATTCAGCATAAAAGTATCCGACCACTTCTGGAAGGCAGGTATGATTAACATTGATTGATGTTTGGGCGTTGCTGTCTATTTTAGTGCTAGTAGTTTGGAAAGAAAATGCCAGTATGTTCTGTGGATTTTGCACTGTGTTGGGTTGATACATCCACGCTTCATTAAAGTCTAAGTTACTGGTGTTTGAAAAAAAAAAAGAGTTCATTTCTGTTTTATAGCACAAATCTTATTTCCCAGGTATTTAACTTGTGATTGATTTTGGTGATAAAGAAACTAGAGACTTTATTTTTCTTATTCACGTTCTAGCTTTAATGCCTAAAATGTGATGGTACGTGGGAGGTATTCAATAGGGAGACTAAATATCTCTCTCTTTCCGTTTTTAATATTTAGGGATCTTCTAGCAGCTGCAAAAACAGGCAGTGGTAAAACTCTGGCATTTCTCATTCCTGCAGTTGAACTCATTGTTAAGTTAAAGTTCATGCCTAGGAATGGTGAGTCTCTGATCTGATCGTTTTTGCCAATATCTAACTGGAAGTTTATCATAATTGTTACTGACTACTGGCAGTACCTCCAGTACGACTTTTACCGTATATGGTTTTTTGCTTTTTAGGAACAGGCGTTCTTATTCTCTCACCTACTAGGGAACTAGCCATGCAGACTTTTGGCGTTCTCAAGGAGCTGATGACACACCACGTTCACACATACGGATTGATAATGGGTGGCAGCAACAGATCCGCTGAAGCACAGAAACTTGGTAATGGGATCAACATCATTGTGGCCACACCAGGCCGTCTCCTGGACCATATGCAGGTGAGACAACACTATGATGAGGCGCCTGTCTCATTGTCTTGTGTGAAACATAAACCTCACGGCTAATGCGTTTTTCTTTGCCTTTGTCTTGGTAGAACACCCCGGGGTTTATGTATAAAAATCTCCAGTGTCTGGTTATTGATGAGGCTGATCGTATCTTGGATGTTGGGTTTGAAGAGGAATTAAAACAAATTATTAAACTTCTGCCAAGTAAGTCAGTAATATCTGCGAGGGTTTGCAAAGTAGTTGTTGGGAGCAAGAGAGGGTTCCTCCTAATGCCAGAATTTTAATACAGCCAAGTGCAGTCGTTGTGCTGAGGAGAGATAGTTTACAGGACAAGCGTCAGACTTAGCAGTAACTTAATACGGTGGTTTTGCCATTTTAGAGATTATAACGTAAGTTAGACAGTTCTGAGGTATTTCTCACTCCCGTCTGCCCCCACCACCCCATCTCTTTTTCTCACCCAACCGAACATCTCCCAGGTAGCCACAAACGTGTCACATACCTCGGTTATAGTATTTGTAACATTTAAAACTCCTTATATCTGTAATAAGGCCGTGATTCCATTTATCATGGTTTGTTTTTTAATGCTTTATTGAAGTATAATTGATACAGTCTGTACATATTTTAAGGATTCAGTTTGGTGAGTTTTGACATGTTTACACCTATGAAACCATCACCACAATCGCTACAGTGAACATCTCCATAACGGACAAAAGTCCTCTGTGTGCCTTAGTAATAATCCCTCCCCCCCCCCTTCAGAAGGAATGCCCTCACTGCTTCCAACAGCTGCTCACACACTTCTCTGCCAGGTGACCATTGATCTGCTTTTTGTCACTATAGATCAGCTTGCATTTTCTAGAGAGTTATGAATGGAATCATACGGTAAAACTCTTTTGTCAGGTTTCTTTTGCGATTTATCCAAGCTGTTGCATGTGGCAGTACTTTCTTGCATTCTTGAGATGCATTCCATTGAATGAGTACACCACACCCCTGGGAGCGGGGTGGCTGGTGCGTGTTTAGCTTGTACCATTTTACATTCGCATCAGCAGTAGGTGGGTTCCGTGTTCTCTAATAAGTGTTGAAACTAGGTAGTATTAACCCCAACTCTGTTCTTTTTCAAAATTGTTTTTGGCTATTCTCCCCTTGGCATTTCTGTGTAAATTTTAGAATCAGTCTGTCCACTTCTACCCCATAAACCTCTGGGATCATGGTTGATACTGTACCAAATACAGATCATTGGTAGAAGACTGTTAAATCATTCAACCCATTAATAAGGTTTGCCTGCATTTATTTGCTCCTTATTTTCTCTCAACAGTGTTTGAGTTTCCAGTGCATAGATTTTTTTCACATCTTTTATTAGATTTACCCCTGAGTATTTCATTAAAATTTCAACTTGAACTTGTTCATGGCTTGTATACACAAATGCAGTTGATTTTTGTGTATTGGTCCTGTATCTCGCAAAGTAATTAACTATATTCAATTGGATTGTTCATTATGACCCTCCAGATGAAGCTACCCACTAAATTTTCTACATAAGCAATTGTGCCCTCTATAAATTTAAAAGTAAATAAAATTCTTAGTTTTTTTTCTTGCCTGATTGCACTGGCTAGAACCTCCAATACAGTACTGAGTAGAAGTGGCAAGAGTAGACATCTTTTGTCTTACCCTTGATCATAGAGAAGAAAGCATTCAGTCTTTGACCGTTAAGTATGATGTTAGCTGTAGATTTTTTTGTAGATACCCTTTACCAGATGGAGGATGAAGATGATTGCTTCTGTTCCTGGTTTGCTGAGATTTTTTTTTCTGTTTATCTGCACATACTAAATTACTTTTATTAATCCAGAATGGCATGCTGCAGATAATGTACAGTATGAGCATTTCTTCATCACAAAAATGGCTTCCAAACCATTGAAAATGAAATTGCAGTAACAGCATAAAACAGAACAGTAACATCACCATAAGGAATAGATGTTAATGGTACGCTTGGCTGGCACATGGTTAAGCATCTGACTCTTAATCTCAGCTCAGGTCATGATCTCATAGTCTGAGTTCGAGACCTGCATCAGGTTCTACGCTGATGGCGTGGAACCTGCTTGGGATTGTCTCTCCTTCTCTCTGCCCCTCCCCAGCTATGCTTTCTCTCTCCCTCAAAATAAATTTTTTATAAAGTTAAAAAAATAGATGTTAAATTTTATCAAATGCTTTTACCGTGGCTATCAAAATGATCAAATGTTGGGGCGTCTGGGTGGCTCAGTCGGTTGAGCACCAACTTCAGCCCAGGTCATGATCTCATGGTTTGTGAGTTCGAGCCCTGTGTCATACTCAGAGCCTGGAGCCTGCTTTGCATTGTGTCTCCCTCCCCCTCTGCTTCTCCCCCACTCACATTGTGTGTCTCTCTCTGTCTCTCTCTCTCTCTGAAAACATTAAAAAAATAATAAAATGATTAGATGTTTTTTCTTTAAATTTGTTAATAAAGTAAATTGTATTGGTATTTTTTAAACATGAAGCTGACCCTGCATTCCTGGAGTAATCACCGCTTGGTCGTGATGCATTATCCTTTTTATATGCTACATTCATCTTTGCTAAAATTGTATTCAGAAATTTTGCATCTGTGCTCACGAATCATTGGGTTTGGTATCAGGGTAATGGCTGGCTTCAAAGAATGAACTGGGAAGTAAAAACTCTTTAAGTCCTGGAGAGATTGATTGGGAGGAATTGGTAATATTTTTTCTTTAAATGTTTGATAGGATTCATCTGATATTTGGGGCTAGAGTTTCCTTTACGTGATGATTTTGGCTGTAATGTCTGTAATAGGTACTACAAAACTATATAGGTTTTCTGTTTCTTCTCAAGTGAGCTTTAGCCATTTCTCCATTTTATCTAAGTTGTCAAATTCATGGACATACAGTTGCTCGTGATATTCCCTTAACATCTATAGTGATGCCACGTGTCCCATTCCTGATAGTTCTCCTCAGCATTTCTAGTTGTGAGGCAGTTCTAAAAATTCCCTGAAACATTCGGGTTATTTACGTGTATCTGTTTCAGCTCGCAGGCAGACCATGCTCTTTTCCGCCACACAAACTCGAAAAGTTGAAGACTTGGCAAGGATTTCTCTGAAAAAGGAGCCATTGTACGTTGGTGTTGATGATGATAAAGCTAATGCAACAGTGGATGGTCTTGAGCAGGTACTTTTTGTCTACATCTTACATTTACGGCTCATCTCTATGCCCTTGTAATTGTTTGGAGGATCATCCCAAAAGCAGATGGATTAATGAACTTTTACTTCAAATATAGTAAACTTGAGTATTGGATTGCTGGCTCTCCTGGTATCTATCAAGTATCTTAAACGCTGAATAATATGGTCAGCTCTCTCTATTCTGTTTCTTAAATATTGCCTGCCACATGGGAGACATTAATCACCACCAGTTGCACATGCAGTTAAAAAAAAGTCATTGTCATTTAATACTTTGCTCTAAGATGCAAGGTGACTTCGCAGATGGAGAGGCTGGTTTCAGGAGCCCTACTGTGAAGAATTGGAAGTGAGGTGACAGATCCAAACGAGGTGGATTAAAAATAGAACCTTAGGGGCACCTGGGCAGCTCACTCTATAAAGCCACCGACTTCGGCTCAGGTCATGGTCTTGCAGTTCATGAGTTTGAGCCCCGCATTGGCTCTGTGCTGACAACACAGAGCCTGGAGCCTGCTCTGGATTCTGTGTCTCCCTCTCTCTCTCTGTCCTCCTCCTCTTGCGCTCTGTATCTGTCTCTCAAAAATAAATAAACATTAAAAATTTTTAATAAAGGGGCACTTTATTAAATGCCCAACTGATGGCTCAGTTGGTTAAGCGTCTGACTTCAGCTCAGGTCATGATCTCACAGTCTGAGTTCGAGCCCCGCGTCGGGCTCTGTGCTGACAGCTCAGAGCCTGGACCCTGCTTCCCATTCTGTGTCTCCTTCTCTCTCTGCCCCTCCCCCACTCATGCTTTGTCTCTGTCTCAAAAATAAATAGTAAAAAAAATTTTTTTAATTAAAAAAAAATAGAACCTTAAGATTGAGTCATTTGATGAATAAAATATTTCAAATAATCTAGCTTAAGGTCTTTTCATTGGCTGTGTATTTTAAGAAATACGTCCAGTCAGCCTTGTTATGTTGTTTAGGACAGTGCACTTAGGCTATGGTTATTTGAGATCCTGCTTTTAAGGATCTTTTTAAAAATGAAGCATTGATATGCTCTGAGGGTTCCCAATGAGCAGAGATGTTACTGTATCATGATTGCACGAACTGTTGGTAAGCAGAAGTCTGCAATCTCAGAAATATGAGAAGCATTTAGTATCTAGTGATTGCACCCAGTAAAAGGAGCCAAAAGAACTAAAATTAGTCTCATTTTAGGAATGCTCTGTTGTAATGAAGATAGTAATTGCTGTGGGTAAGGCATGACGGTGCAGTATGTGATGTGTATATGTGCTCTCCCTCAAATCGTATTGGTTCATAAAGCCGCAAGCGTCTGAATATTTTTACCTGTTCACTTGGACCACTTCTAGGGATATGTTGTTTGTCCCTCCGAAAAGAGATTCCTCCTCCTGTTTACATTCCTTAAGAAGAACCGGAAGAAGAAACTGATGGTCTTCTTTTCATCCTGTATGTCCGTGAAATACCACTACGAGTTGCTGAACTACATTGATTTGCCTGTCTTGGCCATTCACGTAAGTGATTATCATGAGTTTATTTAGCACAGTTGCACTTACCAAGTTATATGGATTGTGGGATACCATCCACTTAGGGAAATAGGATACAGGCCAGAGAGTGAAATTGAAATGTAGGTTAATAGTTCCACAGCTTGGGGGTTGTACCTCCAGACCTCCCAAAAATGACCTCAAGTTTCCAGCTCTAATGGATGTTTTGATTCGATTCTAGGGAAGGCAGAAGCAGAATAAGCGTACAACCACGTTCTTCCAGTTCTGCAATGCAGATTCAGGGATACTGTTGTGTACAGATGTGGCGGCTAGAGGGCTGGATATCCCTGAAGTCGACTGGATTGTGCAGTATGACCCTCCAGATGACCCCAAGGTAACTGGCATCCTCAGAGCTTCTCCACAATGGCTGTACATTAAAGAATAAACATCCCAGTTTCCCTGAGAAATAACTATTTCATATTCAGAGGTTTACCCCTTAGTTACTCCAGTCATGTGTTTTTAAAAATTTATTCAGAGAGAGAGCACGCACACGAGAAAAGTTGCAAGCAGTGTTGCACTGTGGGTGTGGAGCCCAACTCGGCTCAGACTCACAAACCGTGAGATGATGACCTGAGCTGAAACCAAGAGTGGGCCACCTAACTGACTGAGCCACCGAGACGCCCCTCAAGGCATGTTTTATTTTTATTGTATACTGACTATAGTATTTCTCTGGTGCTGATGGTGGTTAGGGCTTTTGCTGACCCAAAGTGGATGTGCAAGATTTGAGAGGCCTCAGTGAGACTGAAGTCAGGAATTCATGTACTTGAAATGGTCTGTTAAGAGCAGTAACTGGTTTTAGAAGGAAATAAAATTTGCTTCCAGAAATAGAGAAGATTTTGTAGCTTATATATTAAAATAAGTTTTATTAAATACTTTCAACAAGAGATAGATTACGTAAATCGTCATGTAGCATCAAAACATGTTCAAAAAGTTATTTTGAAGATTAAGCACACTTAGTATTAATAGTCATTTTTGGGGGCACCTGGGTGGCTCAGTTGGTCAAGGGTCTGACTTTGGTTCAGGTCATGATCTCGCTGCTCGGGAGTTGGAGCCCCGCGTCAGGCTCTGTGCTGACAGTCTGGAGCCTGTTTCGGATTCTGTGTCTCCCTCTCTCTCTGCCCCTCCTCTGCTCACGCTCTGTCTCTCTCAAAAATAAGTATTTTGAAAAAATTAAAATAGTCATTTTTTCTTAGATCATAGAGTTCACGTGAATATCATGTCCAGTGACCAGTGAGTGTCGGCCTCAGTCATTGCCCTGTTAGCTCTCTGGTGATGGTGCATGCGGGAGCCGGGGACATGGGGAAGGGGCGTGCGGCACGGTCCCAGGGGAGGAGCACCTTTTCATCCAGATGTGCTGACATGCTTCTGTCCACCACGTGCAGGTCCTGGAAAAACAAGTTCCCGTGGAAGTTGGTGTATTAATTCAGGTTCTTCTCTCTCCACCACAGGAATATATTCATCGTGTGGGAAGAACAGCCAGAGGCCTGAACGGAAGAGGGCAGGCCTTGCTCATTTTGCGCCCTGAAGAATTGGGTTTCCTTCGTTACTTGAGGCAATCCAAGGTAAAGATACCAGTTTGGAAAATCTTAAGCTGGGAACAGATCCCTCTTGGTAGGAGCTGTGTGCCAGTGCCCATGGCCTTAAGCACCATTTCTGGATGGGTCTCAGGTGTCGGGAGTCACTGCTGCTGTGGGAACAGCTAGAGCAGTTGGATAGGTGACCGTGATGCGGGGCTGGCCTGAAACAGGCACAGCCCTGGGCCTCTGTTGATCCACCGTGCTTGTCGTGTCTCCTGGCGCCATCCCTTTGCCTAGGGCCCTGTTTGAAACCACCTCTGCCCCTTCTGAGCTGCGTCACACCTGTCGCCTCCACCTGCCGCCCTGCCGTAGCGTCGTTTTCACCCAGACTCCATTCACTCTTGCCTCTTCCTCCTCCTCCTGTCATCTATTCGTCGACTCTGTTTTACCTCCAGTCTCTCCTGTGACCATCTCCGGTCTCCCACTAAAACAACAACTTCATCCCTAAACACTGTCCTTCTTCCCCTCCCTCTGTCGTGGCTGCTGCTGGTTGCCTTTCTTCCTTCTGCTTTGAAAAGCGGTTTTTATTTTCGCTATACAGTGTCCAGTCACCCTGAGCTGCAACACACCCTAATCTGGCTCTGGCCTCATTCCATCCACCAAACCTGAATTCATTAGAATCCCGAATGGCCTCTTTTTTGCTCAGTCTTGTGCACACCAGTCAGGCCTTCTCCTGACATTTGGCCCCCCCTTGGCACAGTCCTGCCAGGTGGATTTTCCTCTACCCTGCACGTACGTGCAGTTTCCAGAAATGGCCCTTGCACCTTTTCTCTGGAATGCTCTTTGCCTGGATCTCTAGAATGCCTCTGGTTTCAGCGAGCTGTGCTGTCTTCTGGGAAGCCGTCCCTGATCTCCTGGCCTTCGTGTTCCACAGCACCTGTGCTCACCCAGCTGTTTTATCCTTTACCTGTGCTCCCTGCAAGATTGCAGGCTCGGGGTGGGACCGGGGCAGCTATTTTTCTAGCACTCTCGGAGGTCTGCCATTTTTGCAGTTATCTGGTAAGTGACGGCTGGTGAGAGATCCTTCCTGTAGGAGTTTGTGGTCATCACGACCTCCGGCCATCACAAAGGACAGCGTGCAGCCAGGACAGCTCTCCCGACGCGGAGGGAGGAGCCAGCGGTCCTTTTGACTGGAAACATCGGGCTGCCTCGTGGGGCGTCCAGAGATCCTTAAGTAGAAAAGGGCTTCATGGATCCACTGTCCCTGTCCAGTTCCTTGACTTTTTTTCAGGAAGGTTCCCCAGCACAGTTCATGTGAAGTTAGCAGAGGGAAGATAAGACTTTCCCATTGGCTTCGGGAGACCAGAAGAACAGCTGTGGTGAGGTTGCTGCACAGGCCTGGTTGTCCGTCCTTCTCTTCAGTTCCTTTTCAGCTGCATTGGCTCCGGCTTTTCCCGGTTCTTCGTGGGACACTTGGCACTGCTCATTGGTCTGAAAGTCTCAACGTTGATCTACCCTGGTTGACTAATCTTCATGCTTTTGTTTTCTAGGTTCCATTAAGTGAATTTGAGTTTTCCTGGTCCAAAATTTCTGACATTCAGTCTCAGGTACGCTTTGTGTTTTGTTTCTGTTTTGTGGGTAAGAGGTAGCCTTATCCGGGGCACTGCCTTTATAGTATTTCATTGGTAGTTGTCCTCTGAGTCTCCCCTTTTCCATAAAACCAGTGGTTTGAACCGTGTTCTTCTAGGGTTCTTTCTGTGCTGGTTACCACATTCCAGGGTTCCCCGCCTCATTCCAGTTCATACCTTACAAGAACTTGGACATTATTCTTCCCCCATCCTGGTTTTGCACATATTACGAAACTTGGAGCAGATGTTTTGGAACATGTGTTTTTTTATAGGGTGGTTTTGTTCTAATAATATATAGGAAGTCTGCTTTTGTATTATTATTGACACTGATGTCTCTTTTTTCTTTTCAGCTTGAAAAATTGATTGAAAAGAACTACTTCCTTCATAAGTCAGCCCAGGAAGCATATAAGTCCTACATTCGAGCATATGATTCTCACTCTCTCAAACAGATCTTTAACGTTAATAACTTAAATTTGCCTCAGGTTGCTCTGTCCTTTGGTTTCAAGGTGCCTCCTTTCGTTGATCTGAGTATCCTTTGTTGTTAGGAATTCATCCAGGAACTAAGGGACAGAAGGTTGACAGGGGCATTCGGGCCTAGCACTTGGTTTGGTATGTGCTCCGCCTGAGGTCTGGAAGCCCAGGAATGCATTCTGGTCGCTGCTTGTCAGGGCTAGCACAAAGTAGGCCGGGATTAGTTGTCACAGTGGGGATTGCAAAAACAAGACAGCTTGTGATTTGGCCTGTAAAAACAAAGGAGTTTAACTGGCCAACAGTGAAGGCCAGAGAGAAATGCAGAGGGGTAAAATTGCAGGGCTTGGGTGGTTGTGAGGCTTCCCTGTATGAGATCTGAGGTCTGTGGAGACCAGCATGTCCTGGAGCTGAAGATAGGAGATGAGACCTCAGAGTTTTTATCCGCTTAGAGCCATTGAAGTATTTCATACAAGGAAGTTGCAAGATTAGCAAAAGAAAATAAAATCTAAGTGCTACTCAGGGTAAAAGGCAAAGGAAACCCTCCAGTTGCTTCTGTGAGGTTGATCGCGTTTTCTGCAGAGGAAACAACCAGCTAGAGTGAGGCCAGCTAACGCTCTGGCACGGACTCCCGAGGCAACAAGATTTGGGGTCACCGGCCTCATCGTAGGCAGTGCGTGAACGTCCGTCGTGATGAATGCTTGCTGAATCGTGTGGAAGGAAGGACTCCTTCAGTCAGCTATAACATTCCTGAATGCAGTCAGAACAGAGGTGAAAGTCATTTGTGTTTTGACCCCGAGGGTGGTTTGTAAACTTGCTAATTTACCTCTGGACTCCTTATAAGTAATTGTCTTCGGTTTCATTGTGTGGAGAACACAGTTAACAGGACCATTACCTTAGGCCTAAAAGTCATAGCTGCTAATTTTAGGCCACATCAAGGGGCCATTCCAGATTTCCTGGAAATGTCACATAGGCTTATGTTGACATTTTCATGGTGCAGGGAGGGGGTGTGGCAGCAGAGGAGCGGTGGACACGCTGGTTCGTTCTCTGTGTGGATGTTAGGTGGGAGTTGGTTATCTGCACGTTGCTTGATTTCCTTAACATCCGCCTTTAGACGTGAACAGCAATGACGGCAAGCTTAAGAAGAGAGGAGGAGGCGGCGGATTCGGCTACCAGAAAGCCAGGAAGGTCGAGAAGTCCAGAATCTTCAAACACATCAGCAGGAAGTCATCTGACAGCAGGCAGTTCTCCCACTGAAGACCCGCCTTCCTCTCTTCCTCAGTAGCTTCGTCCTGATACGGATTTTTCCCTTTCTCTAACAGAGGAATTTTTGTGGCTTCAGGATTGGGACTGATCGAACAGGAGTATACATGGACTTGGGCTGCAAGCGCTGGGCACTGATCGCTTCCAGGAAATACCTCTCTTACTTGGGGATATAAAACACAGTTCATTTTTTTAGGTTGCTCAAGGGCAAAACAAAGGATCTTTTGGATGGAATATTTTAATTCTTTTTCCTCCAAGTTTGTCACTGTTTTAATATAATTCCTTTTGTACCTTTTCCTCCGGGTGGCTGAGGATTTTCACGGCACGGATTTTGTACCAACCTGCTGTAAAAGGCAGTGACCTGATACTCTGAACAGGTGCTGGTGGTAGTGATGCAGAAAATTGTCTCCACTTACTTGGGTTTGTTTTGGGTTGTTTCTTGGACTTTAACCATAGTTCTTGACCTCCCCTGAAAATGCTGCTGTGGCTAGGAAGCACCTTAGGTCAAAGGTGGCATTGATTTTTAAATAGGCCAGATTTTAAAACTGTGGCTGTTGCCCTTCTTTTTTTCAAGAGTGAGAAGTTTGGGTTATTTGACACTGTTGTTTAAATAAAGCACCCTCAGCCCTCCCAACCTTTGTTGGGAGCAGAGGGAATCAGATCTTTGAGCCTCATTTACACCAGTATAGGTGTAATACTCTTCTGTTCTCCATTTGATAACTTAGAAACCTTTTCGAAAAGGCAGAGTGGTGATAGACCTCACTTGGCTCTGCTTCAGGTGGTTTGGATTTTGGTGAGCCCTTCCGACTCTGCAGAGTATCAGGGAGGCAGAGAGAGCATCTTGTTGAGAAAAATAGCCCCTTTCGGATCCACAAAACACAGATTTGTGATGAAAATTGGAAATGAACAGAGGTCAGAGCAGCAGAGATGGGTTTAGTCTGGCGGGGGTTTTGTTACGAGAGCTCTTGATTTCCAGCGTGTTTCCTTTGTCTTATTTCCAGTGCATCTGGTAACTATAAAAATGGTTATTAGATTTTTATCAATTTGAAACTAAAGTTGCTTAGCGTCATTTTGCTGTTAAGCCAGGTAATAGTGATAGGCTCCTAATAAAATAAGCACATTGAGAGCGTCAAATGTGGAAGAAACAGCCTGATGAAAATAGCATCCCAGGAGTAAAAAAGAAGAGTGATATTCTGCATCTGGACTCGACTCCTGGCCCCTTGGCCCCTTGGCCCCATGGCTCGAGCTCCCCTGGGGTTCAGACCTTGACCACTGGACTCCTGGCTTTTAATAACTATTCCTCTAAGACATCTGGTAACTTGTTTTTCTTTTTTGTTTCAGACATAGTCATGTCTCAGAAAATACACAAAAACAAAGGGAAGAGTATTTAATCCAGAGCAGGAGTAAATACTGTCAGTATTTTAGTACGTACTCATCCAGTGTTTTGTATACACGCTTTTACATTTTTTTATCAGAAGTGAAGTCATCCTCTATCCCCAACTTGGAACCGGCTTTTTTCATAACATGCTATTTTCCTGTGTCATTAAATAATTATGTCACTTTTGTATTTCCTTTATACTACATTTTGTTAACTCTCGTTCGGTCTGCCTACACCAAGGTTGTAGGTACCTGCTGGTCACAGAGGTCTTGTGCCCATATGTTGTGCTGTGGTTGACCTCCATTATGAGTAGAAGTCAGTCTACAGAGATCTCGTGAGATCAGTACATAAACAGAAGGTGGAAAGATTGTTCCTTCTATGGTAGTGGCTCATTTCGGGTACTTGCTGAGTCAGGAGGATCTGCTGGCAGCATGGGCCAGAGGAAGGGCCTCCAGACAGCCAGTCCTGACCAGCCTGGCGGGGATTCAGATGTGAGAGAGCCAGTGGTTAGAATCCGATAGGAGGTCAGAGTAGCACTGTGTGCAGGGCTCATGTGCACAAGAGGAAGGGATCCTTCGGCTTATGTGCTGAGCGCACAGCTGCTGGGGGCATGTGTGGGGCTGGTAACATGACAAATGGGATTAAGTGGCTTCAGCCAGGAAGGGCAGGCAGCATGCATGGGCAGGGAGCCAAGCAGATCACTTGTGCAAACAGAAATCTCTGGGCTTCCAGGGACCATACGCCATTCCTTAAATAAGTCTTGGTCTTAACTGCCCATGTTGGTGTAAGTAAAGCCAAATTCAAAATACCCAGAGGATCTTGTCTATTGAGAAATATGTAGTGCTTAAAAATGAGTGCCTGGATTCAGATTCCAGCTGTGCCTCCTTTCTAGGTCTGTTACATGTGTAAAAGGAGGTAACAGACCAACATAAGGTGATGAGCATTGAATGAGCTCACGGAAGTGCGTAGGAGAATGTTTGCGGCAAAGCTCTTTTCCTGTTAGCTGTCTGTCGAGCGCGTCCCACAGGAAAGGTTTGCCGTTCGGTAGCATCGGGTACAGGGACTCCAAAAACCCTGAGCCAGCTTGAGCCTTTTGGCAAAATACAGGCAGGATTTCTGGCAGTCCAGTGCCTTGGAATTATGATCTGACCCAGGTTTTGGAAAGCATTCCTATTCAGCACTTTCCTAAGGCAACTGTCAAACAGATGAAAGCCGTTTTCAAGGCTTCTCTGTTTTGTACTGGGTGTTAGTGGAGGCAGTAATTGTGTCTTTGGATAATCCTAGGTTGTCATGAATTGAAAGCCTGCTAGGTGCTCGTGGACAGGATGAGTTCTTCTTATGAACCTGGTTACGGTATAGAGAAGGTAAAGAGGTGACAATTGCAATATTGTCTAAGTTGTGTGATGGATGCCGATAGAGATTCCAGCCGTTTCTGAGGCTGAAAGATCCTTCGATTCTGGTAGACATTAGCTGGTGGGAAGGTGATGGAACCTTCTCTGTCTGTAGAAGGTAGGCCTCTCTTCGGGAACTGGAGTTCCCAAATACTGGTTTGACTTAAGATTGGCTTCTTAAGAAACACCAAGATGTTGTGAGATTTTCATCCCTCGTTTCTAGGAGATTGTGACTTGGGCCTTTGGTGGGGCAGAAGAACCTCTGGATGGGTTTCATGCCACCAGTAGGTTTGGGGACACCCATACGCCTACAGCCTCTTACTAAACCTTTTAACGTTCTCATCTTACAAAGGGAGAATGCCCAGTACAGGAAATGGTGTTGACATGTTTAGTCCTGCACGAACTGGGTGGCCCAGAGGAGACATATAGACTCAGGCTTTCCAGAGCAAGCAGCCATGAGTTTGAATGGCTTATGTGGGACGAGGCTCTCACTGTAGGTCAGCATAACAACCATGGCTCCCCTCCTCCTTCCAGCCAAAGCCTCCAGATCCCCCAACGGCACTCCATTCATTTGGAATGCAGTTGATTGGTGTTGGCACAGGAGATGAAATTGATTTGCCTTGGCCACTTTGTCCAGGACTCGGCATCCTCATCTGTAATTTAAGGGGGAGTGCGAACATTTTAACTGGGTGAGACTAGTGGATGTTTTTTGTTGGAGGTGCTGCCCGGCGTCTAACCTTCCTGTGCTTGGAGACGGTGCCGTGTTACCCCTGCTGGGTCTTCAACCCACTTCCCATCAGAAAAGCCTCCGCTGCAGCCAGGACCGGCCTGGGACCCAGGTTTGACAGATCAGGTATCCTGCCCTAGACTCTGAGTCAGGGACTAACACTACAAGTGGCGTCTTCCTGATCCCGCTTCCGGAGGCTGCTGTGTTGGGAGCAGAGGCGTGGCTGGCTCTGGTTTTCCAAACCTAGTTCTCTAGTCCTCTGTGGTTGCCGCTGTTTCAATTAATTCCTTTTTGCTTTCAGAGTAGCTCTTTGTTGCTCCTATTTGAGAACCCAAGGCCCCTCTGACATGTAGCGATGCTCTGACTTGGTTTCCGTCTCCCTCTGTAGGTAGGCTGTCTAGGCTGCTTGCATCCTTCATGCCCCCCTTGCCCGGAGCTGCCCTGCCCCACAGCACAGGGGAAGTGGTGGGTTTAGAGCAAGGCCAGGACTGGAAACATGAAAGGCAAGGATGTGTGAAAGGAAGAACAAGCGGCCAGCTCACCACCTCGAGGTACAGATCACGGAAGAGCGGGTCTGGAGCTGGAGGTTTGGGAAGCAGGAAGAAGTGGTACCTCCAGCACCGCTCAGCCTAGGGGGGAATAAATATGCACCGGGGAGGGGCAGGCTGACGGGCTTTGGAGGGCCCAGGGCAGCAGTTTCCGGAGTGAGGCAGAACTTGGTGAGAATCTCCGTCCCGCCACTTACCGTGAGGCCTTGAAGAAGTGGACTTCCCTCTCTGTGCCTCAGTTTCCTCAGCTGTAGAAGGAAGCGGTGGAGTCGACGGGAGTAAACGCAGTCATGCCTGAGAGGTACTTAGCACAGAATGGAGCAGTCCGCCGTTAGAAATGACAGCTATTGTTGGAGCGCCTGGGTGGCTCAGTCGATTGAGTGTCTGACTTTAGCTCAGGTCATGATCTCGCGGTTTGTGGGGTCGAGCCCCACGCCGGGCTCTGTTCTGACAGCTCGGAGCCTGGAGCCTACTTCGGATTCTGTGTCTCCCTCTCTCTCTGCCCGTCCCCTGCTCACACTCTGTGTCTCTCTGTCTCTCAATAATAAATAAACATTAAAAAAAAAAAGAAAGGAAATGACCGCTATTGGTAACCACTTCTGAGAACATCAAGAAAGGGGACAGACAGTGATAAAAAAAAAAATGTTCTCTAGAACTTACCTGCTCTCTCACATCCTCTTGCCACCATCAGAATGTCATGGGCTCAGCGTCTTTAGGCCAATCAACTCTGAGGGTCTCCCTGTTTCTGATTCCCCAAGCTCCCCAGCAGAGGGCCCTTAGCCAGGGCTGAAAGGGACAGCGGCTGCCACAGGGGTGTCACAGTCCCCCTGCACTTCTGCATAGGATCTTGGGGCAGGGGGTTGATTGGACTCTGTCTTGTGGTAGAGGAGGGCTGCAGGGGGCTCCTCTCCAGCTACCGGAAAGGGGACAGCATAGGGAAGCGGGGAAAA